GTATCTTTCCGCCCCCCAGAAATAGTTTGAGTATGGTTATCCGATTACTGTTAGAGTACCATCGGGTATTTTTTTTTTTAGTCTGCGTACCTTCTCGTCCGAGGTCCGCCTGTAGGTTGACATGCCCGACCTAACTCTACGTTCGTCTTCTTGGTGTTTCCCCTCCTCATCCTCGTCCCCCGCCTCTGGAAGGTGGAAACATGGGCGATCCAGCATCTTTGGCACAACACGTCGGCGTCGCCTTCGGCACCTGCTCGAGCGGCGGCGGGGCCGTGCCTTCGGCGCCACGGGTCCCGCTGCCACTGGGATCCGAGTAGTCCCTATAAGTGCACCGCCGAGCAGCGCTGCGAACTCCGTCAGGCGACTGGTCGCGCCAAAAAAACTTGACGTCGCTTATCCCCTAGCCCGCGCAATCCCGACCCCGGCATGGGTTCGCCGCGGCCAGGACGCGTGGATCGACCGCGCTCACAGCGCCAGCCCGAGCCGACTGAGGTCTGGAGGACCAGCGCGCGTCAGTACTTCGCCGCGGGCACTTCCTGCTGGTCTGCATGTGGCCCTCGTGAGGCCCTCGTGCCCCCCCCGCGCCGTCTCTGGCCGGGCCGGGCATGGGCGTGGGTCTGGCCATGCCAGGAGGGCGCGCGCACCGATCTCAGGAGTAAGGTGGGCGGGGCCAGCATCAGCAAGGTGGTCAGTTGACGTTCCCTGATGCAGCAGACTGCGTCGCCCGCCGCTCCAGGCGACTCTTTGAGCTGAGTATGCTACGCTTGGGACTCGCACGTGCGCTGATGCTTCCACCCGCCAGGCAGCCCGCCGCCCTGCACCTGGGAGCCTTGCAAAGACTCCATGGATAGGTGGGCCCCCGCAGTCGAGTCGATGCTGTAGTGGGGCGGTGCTGCGCCGCGGCGAGTCGGGCTGATGGAGATGGTGGCGATCCTGCGATGGGCCAGAAGGACTCTGACAGCAGCATTCGCCACGCAGGCAAGAGTGCGGCCCCGGGCAGGGGTGCACAGACGGCGTGGGTCTCCAAGGGCAAGGGGCTGCAGCAGCTGGTCACCATGACGATGGCGCCCACCATGACGCGCAGAGGATTCGCATGAAGTCGAGCGTGGTGGCCAGCGCGCGCGCGCGTCGCAGTGACGCAGCTCGCCCTTGCCCAGGCATCCGATGCCATGACTTCTCACCACGCTGCTTCCGAGTGGTCGGGGCCCCCCATCCCCAGGAGTGGCCTGGCACCGTGCCCGTGTCTGTGGACGGCCCCGGGGCCCGCACAGAAGGCCCGCCGAGCCTTGCCCCGCACCCTGTCCGCGGCGATTCTCCACGGCGCGAGAGCGGGAGGCGCGCCAAGTAAGGAGCTGGCCTGCCAGCGGGTGCCCCACGGGGAAACAGCTGATTCCCCGACGCCCCGGGACGCCCGTGGGAGGCGGCGGGGGCACCCTGCGAGGATCGACCGGGCAGTGCGCCCTTGAACCTGTTCGGGAGCCTCGAGACGGGGGTCAATGCAAGCGGGGGTCAGCCAGAGCGCCCGATCCTGCAGGATCCTGCACGGCCAGGGCCGCACGGACCCGGGTCTGGGCGCAGGACCCCGCAGGATGCTTCGCATCGACCCGGGCTTGAGTGCAGGATCTTGCAGCATCCTGCGAGGTTCGACTGACCCCGGTCTGGATTGACCGGGGTCCTCGCCATCGCTTGGACGTGTGCTTTTTTCGTTGTCGGAAGGGGAAGGAGGAGGAGGAGGAGGAGGAGGAGGAGGAGGAGGAGGAGGAGGAGGAGGAGGAGGAGGAGGAGGAGGAGGAGGAGGAGGAGGAGGAGGAGGCGGAAGAGTAGGAGGAAGAGTAGGAGACCGTCAGAAGATCCCCGACCCGTCTCGAAGAAGCGCAAGCATGGGCTGAGGCGCGTGGGCGGGCGACGGGTCCCGTTGCCGAGCGGGATCGGCGCGCTCCACCGCCGCATCGGGTGGCACGGGCCCCGTGTTCCGGGGGTGCCTTCCACGATCCATGGGCCCGTCGCCAACGCGCCAGATCTACGGATCCCCAGTCCATGTTGGCGCTGTGGAGGACGACCAGTGGAGAGGAAGCGTGTTGCCAACTACCTTCCAGATGTCTGAATACAACATGTGCTACACATGCTTGAAGAGCATGCAAGACACATGCTGGAAACAGGTTCAGGACATTGCTCCCCGACATCTTATGCACATGTTACACTCGATGGTACACTCTAGGCGATGCTTAAGAAAACCCAAGTTTTCGGCCAGAGTCTCGATTATTTGTAATGTTTCAATGTAAATCCCAAGATTTGAATAGACATTCTGGGCTTGTATTCAAATTCTGAGACTATGAGTTTCTTAACCCATGATTTCTAAAGCATTTCGCAGGGTGTAGGACTGTTCGGGTGCCCATTGTCGTGGCACCCACGATGCCAGCGTGTGCCCCACCGGCACAGCAGCTCGGCTGCCCCGCTGCGCCAGCCTCGAGGCGCCGCGCCGCGCCGTGCTCCCAAGACGTCCGTCCCGAGCGCGGTGCGCGCCGGCTCGGCACGCGCCGGCTCGCCCCCGCTCTTCGGCGTCCGCGTGGCGCCAGGCCTGCGTCCTCCGTCTGCGTGGACGTCGGGCCCGTCCCTCTGCAGGGGGCATGCTCAGAAATAGCCAAAACAAAAATTGGTCCGGGGGCTTTTTTTAAGCAGTGGTATTTCTGTCTTGACAGTTTTGGAGGATGTTTTTTACTGTCCCTGCGTCCTCAGTCTGCGCTTAAGTCGGGCCTGTCCCTCTGCAGGGGGAATGCCCAAACATAGCCGAAAACAAATTGTCGGTGGACTTTTTTAAAGTGGTATTTTTCTTTTGGCAGTTTTGGCGTATGTTTTTAGAGTATTTTTCCATGGCTTCTGGCATGGGCCAGCTGCCGCGGGAAGCGTGTAGATCGCTCACCGTCCGTGGCCCAGGGGACCCGCGAGCCACCAGAGAACTCCTAAGGGGCAAAAATGTAAATAAACAATGTTTTGAGTATTTGTCCATTTTTCGTCGAGAATACCCCCCTGTAGGGGGGACACGCCCGACGCAAGTCCGCGTGGCTGGCCCCGTGTGAGCACGCCACGGGTTGTGCGTGCTGCGCATCGGGGCCGCCAGTCTACGGCCAGGACGCTGAGATAAGGAGCAGTTTGGATTCGGAAGGGGCTCGATGTTCCTTACGTCCTTCCGCGGTGGCTCCTCTAGCCCTGCTCTCGGGGGTGGACAGAACCCCCAACAGTGACACGTCGATTAGTGAATTGTCCGTTTTCGGTTCTCGAGAGGGCGCCGTGGCCGTTATTTTCCAGGCTTGCGCCCGCCAGGTTTAGACCTCAGGTCGTTTTCACTAAACCACGTTTTACTAAAGGGGGGTCTGTCCATCCCCG